TTAAATTTTCTAGAATAATTATTTTAATGAGTCCTGTTGTTCTTGGGGTGGGAATAGCAAGTAAGGTAATAACTGTGAACACGGGATCAGAGCAGTGTAGATCTGGGCTCAAATCATGGTACTGCCATCCCCTAAGAGCGTGACCTTAGGCAAGCTATTGAACCTTGAAGCCTCAGTTTCCTCATCTGTGGAATGGGGATGTGGAAATGACATGATCGTTGGGAGGATGAAATGGAATTGTGCATATACAACATTTGGCTCATATTAACAAGCAGAAAAAGAACTGCCTCACGATCCAGCCTGCCTTTGGATGACAACCAAGGTTTTCGGAAAAGAAATGTTCTTTTTCCACTGCAATGTGACCTCGTGAGCCCAGTAATATATGACATGTAACAGGTACCAAAAACTATTTCCAACAAACATGTGAATGGCAATGTTGAAATAATATTCCGCAAGCGCCCAGTGCTCTAACCTACCTACAGGAATGTCAACCCTGCTTAAGAAGAACTGGCATGGTCCCTGCACGTTCCTAACTCCTGGGTCTTGTCCTGGTGTCTCTGCTTTTGCAAACCTTTTACTCAAATGACAGAGATGCTGTGCTTCCCAGGGGAAAGAATGCTGGCCTCTTGTTGCATTAAGAGGGAGGGATGGAGGGAATATGCCCCGAAAGAGCCAAGGACGCTGCAGAGGAAGACACGAGGCTCACCTGGAAGGGAAGGGAAAGAGGCACGGAGGAGGAGTGGGAGAGGGGAGATGAAAAACAAAAGCCCCAGCAAAAAAGAAAACAAAAGGTGGACTTTGTTCAGTGAGAATCTCACCATCTCATCTGCTCAGCTTTTCCGAAACAACAAAGCATGAAGGGCAGGGGACACAGGCTGGATAAATAACCCTGGTGGACTGGGAAAATGGAGTGAAAATCAGAGTGAGGGGAAGAGACCAAAAGTAGGGCAATTCCAAAATAAGCAGAGAACACCTCCTGACTACCTGTTTCCCAAAAGATGACGGAAAGACACTGAGACACCGCCCTCAGACCCAAGCACAGAGCCCAGAAGATTCAGGGAAAAGTTGCCTCCGGTTATTTCCTGCGGAAACACTGCTGGTTACATCATCCTGGAGACAGACACTGAAAGGTGTCAATAAGGTTATATTCAAGTCATCACAATGGACATATAAGCAAAAGGGAGAAAATTGGAAAAAAAAAAAAAGATAACAATAGCCCAGGCAGGCTTTGGGGGAGAGAGGAGGTCACTGGCCCAGGTCCTCCTCCAGCAGCACCCTTGCCAGGCACACTCCATTTCTGGGAGCAGGGCGCCAGGTCTGCTGATTGAAGGTTTCCCCCCAACCACTGCTGTGGAAGAGGTGGATGAGAGTGCTTTCTGCAAGGCACACAGTCTTCCTCTGATAGGAGATCTCTGCTTCCTGCCTGCAGAACGGCCCGCCACTCTCCCAGCCTGGGCTGAGTCCCTGTGCCCTTCCCCTTCCCCTCTCCTCCTCCAGCCTGGCCCAGCAGGAGCCCTGAGGTTACTCTGCTGCCCCCTCAGCCCTCAGCCCCCAGGGATACGCACCCTGTTCCAGCTGCACACTCAGTGTTGGACACCGATGTCGGCTAAAGGGAAGTCCGAGCCCCACGTGAAAGCCGGAGGCCCCAACACCCTAGACTCTCACCAGGGCTCCCTGAGTGGCAGGGTCTCAAGCGCAGGGAGCCCCTTTCTTCCCACCTAGGGCTGTGGGAAGATGGCTTCTCTGAACAGCCTTAGCCAACACCGAGGTCCATATGACCAGAGGGGCTTCCCACACCCTCCTCATCCCACTGGACCACAGCCTAGTGACGCTGGGTGGGTGGGCCCTTCCCCTCCACAGGCACCACAGGCAGGACCTAAACCCCAGAATCACCCCGCGCTCCTCCAACCTGCTGAGTGTGGCTCACGAGGGTTTTCCTAAATAGCGTGTGAGATCCATGAGGAGAAAATGGGTTCAGAAGGAGGAAACAGAACACTGCTCCTCAAGCATCCTGGCCTAGGAAGCTACATTTCTAACAGGCTCCATAGGGGATTCTCACAGAAAGGGGCCCAAGGATGGTGTCACTGAAAAACAGCACATAAAGAATCACATAAATGATGACACACTATAGGCTGCACATCCACATACAAGGGAATGTCCAAGAAGTCACTTCTGGGACAGTGGCAGCAGGTAAGACTTCTAGCTAAAGTCTGCTCATACTCTCCGTGAACAATGCGTTGCATGCTTGGACCGACACTCCTATACACAGCAGCTAGAGCAGCAACACTTGGAGGAGGCGCCACACAAAACAGACCTAGACAGTTCACAGTCCTGCTTCTGATCTTCTCTGCAGTCAACCAAAGGCACTGCACGGACCTTGGCCTGACAAGAAGTCATTTCCTTGGCTCCTCTGTGCTGTCTGGGTGCCAGGTCCCGAGAGCCAGGGCTTCATGTCGATGCTTCACCCCAGTGTACCCTAGAACCTGTTCTCTAGCTCTGTGCCATGACCCTGTCAACCCCCCGCCCCCGATCTCTCACTGCAGCACTGGGCCTCTGCCCCCACCTTGCTTGGCAACATTTTCCCGGCCTCACATCACCGTCCCTGACTCTTGTCCTGCGCTGGGAGGCCTCACCTGACATGGAGCCTGCATCCCAGGGCTGGGAACCCCATCCAGGACTTCACCTGGTAGACATGCCCTACGGTGCCATCTGTCCCTACAGTAAACTCTGGGTGAAACCAGCCTCCTCCTCCTTCTATTCCCAGGGCCTGGCACCACCTCTTACAGCCTTTCTGGGACTGGAAGAATTTGACCTGCCTTCCCAGGGAACAATAAACAGAAATGGGGCATTGGGGCCACTGTCCTCAAGGCAGCTGGGAAGTGAATGAAAAACACTGACAGTTCCTTCACTAGGGAAAAAGACAGAGTCTGAGGGAGAGTTAGGATGCCTGGAGTCAAGGGCAGAGTGGAAGGGGACGGGGACATACATGAGTGTAGTCTAAGTGGAAGCTGAAGTTTCAAAGTCCCATGAAGCCTTACAAGGTCATAGAGGCAAGAGAATAGCTTTTGGATCCCTGCCTCAGTTTCCTCATCTGCAAGATGGGTGTGATAGTTACTGTAAGGATCAAGTGACATAATAGGTTCAAAACACTTTGCCAACCGAAAATAAACTATATTTCTCCTGAGGCATAAGTATTTCTAAAAAGGAGGCTACAGGAGTTTACAGGCTCAGTAATAACAGGAAGTGGTATCTGTGCAAAGGCTTAAAACTGTTGAACCCCAGCAGGGCTATGTGGTGGAGGCCTCGCGCGGGGGACACTGAGGGCATTTGTGTAAGGGGTGCCACTCTTGTCGCTGCTCAGGCTTCTGGTGAACAGGTGCCAGGAAATCCCACAGCCCACTCCAATGATGGTGACGCTTGCTGACTGGCCAAAGGGCAAGGCTTGGGAGCAGGCAGAGAGGTGTTTCTGAAAGTGTGAGCCATCATATAAGAGTCACCTGCACACTAATCTAATACATTCCTGGGCTCAATCCCAGGCCTGCTGAGTGAGACACTTTGGAAAACTGTTATTTTAACAAGCGCCTCCAGTGACTCTGAGAAAAGTTTCACACGAGCACAGAAATATTCGAAAAGCTGTGCAGTCGGGAAGACCTGGGTCAAATCTGAGTACTACGACCTTGCTGCTGTGTGACACTGGGCAGGTTTACTTAACTTCTCTGAACCCGTTTACTCTGTTTACATAAATATGGAGCATAACCACTGCAGTGTTGCTGGGAGGGAGAAAGGCACTCAGCTACAGAGGCACACATCCATGGCTTCATCCAAGCCATGAGTGCCTGTGTCTAAGGCATTCATGAATGCCTGCCTCTAAGAGGCAAGAACCACTGTGACCCTCCTCTTTTAGGGGAACAATCTGCCACTAAGAGGGAATAGGGCTTCCTGGGGTCTCCCCATGCATGATGGAAGCCAGATACCGCTAATGTTCTATTCAGAAGCCCATCTCAGTCCCTGTACCAGGGTCAAGCAAGGTGAGGCAGGAGGTAAGGATGGGCTGAGCTTTGGAGGAAAGCTAAGACAACCCACCTTTCTCAGGGACAGGGCCTTGAGGTGGTCCAGGCTGCTGCACACAGCTCCAAGATGGATCTACCAAGGGGCTCTCTTGGGGTGGAGAGCATAAAGGCTGAAAAGGCTGCAGGCCTCTGGACAGGCCCGCCCGAGACTCTAAAACTCAGGGAGGGAAGAGCAGGAGAGGTCCATCGCAGGGTCACCCCAGTACTGCCTGTAGCAGGGCTCACAAACCCCCCATAGCCTCTTTCCCCGAGGAAGCAAGTTAAGATGAAAAAAATTAGGCAGGCAGCTATCAGGCGGTGCCTGGCTGACGGCTCATGGCTCACAGTGGAGGATGGACACTGCTGTTATTTTCCCTGCCCGGGTACCTGAGCTGTGCCAGGCACATCAGGACTTGGCGGCAGTTTCACTTTGCTGCTGTCCCGAGCCGAGCTGTTATCAGACTGAGCTCTACTGTCCGGTGCCGGCTGTTCCCAGACCACTGTGCCCGGCTGAGGACTGAGGCGGGGACTTGGTGCCGGCTGTTCCCAGATCACTGTGCCCGGCCGAGGACTGAGGCGGGGACTTCAGGCCAGGGGGCCAGGCTGGCTTTCCCTGCCTTTCACTTCAGATGGGGGCGGCTGCGGATGAGGATGTCCAGCGGCCGTCGGTTTCTAGCCCTGGGATCATTCTGGCTCCGACACGGAGTGACAGGGGATTCCCCACGCGTCCCCGTATCCAGGGCGTCCCTTTAGCCGCGGCCGGGGCGCAGAGGGGCCTTGGCGGCGCTGTGGCTTCGGCTGGCCCCAGGTCCCGCGCAGCCGGGCCCTCCACCCTGAGTGGAGCTGCCCTCCAAGCACCCAGCCCCTGCCAATCACCGCGCCCAACACCAAGTTCCCGGGGCGCCCTGCCTCGGGCCACCCAGCGCTCCCTCGCCCGCCCGCCCGACTCACCTGCTGAAGACCCGGCAGCCCAGGTGGTTGATCTTGTGGTCGGAGCGGTGGCGGCTGTAGTCCTCCCATAGGTCCCTGAAGGCCGTGATGGCCAGGATGAAGAGCACCGGCGCCAGCGCCAGGCCGGGCTGGAAGGCGTTCACCGCCGGCACGAAGTTGAGCAGCGCGATGAAGACAAAGTACACGTTGGCCGGGCGGTGGAACTGCTCGAACAGGTTCTTGGGCAGGAAGGACAGCAGCGTGTACTTGGTGGTCTTGAGCCGGTTGTCGGCCAGGTGCTGGGTGCACCCGCGCCGCCGCCGCCGCTCGCCCTTGGCCGCGCCAGCCGCAGGGTCCTCGGCGCCCGGGGGCGGCAGCAGGTTGGAGCGCACCGTGCGCGTCCTGCCCTCCCGGCGCCGCCGCCGTCCCGGAGGCCCGGGCTCCTCGGTCCCCGCCGGTTCCCGCTCCATGGCCGCGTGTCGCCGCGCCCGGCTCCTCCGCCACTCACGCCCGCCTGCGCCGGCCTCTTAGGTGATCATCACTCGCTGCCCGGGCGCGGCGGTGCGGGCTCCCAGCCTGCGGGACGCACGGAGACCGCGGTCAGCGCGCCCGGCCCGCGCCCAGTCCCGTCCACTCCCGTCCAGCCCCGCCGCCCGGCCGCAGTCCCCAGGGCGCAGGCTGGGCGGGTGCCGCACAGGGCCCCCTTGTCCGCGCCGCCCGCCCCCGGCCCGGGTCGTTTCCGCCGCGGTGGCCACGGCCCCGCCCTCGCTCCGCGCCCGGACTGGGCCACGCCAGATAGCGGGAAACAAAAAAAGCCCGAGCTGGAAACTTCAGAGAGGTTTAGTTTCGTTTCCCAGAAGCATCAGTCCGGTCCCAAAACACTGCAAACGCGCGCTGGCTGCAGCAGGAGAGAGGAAACCGCCGCGAAGCGCGAGAAAAGGCGCCCCGTCCCCAAGCAGCCCGCGCGCCCATCCAGGGGCCAGATCTGCTTCATCCTGGACGGCGAAACGACCTGGGAGACCCCGGTTAGGACCCTACTCCGCTGATCAACTGGAATCAGAATCCAAATGAGCCATGGCATCCAGTGCTCCAATTTTTTAAATCTTTTTTACGGAGGACCTCCGTTCCTGGAGAGCTCTGGGAAGGGCGATTCCGCGTTGCCTCTGAGACCTTCTTCCCTACCCCCCTGCCCAGCCCCCACCACCACTTTCAGATTCCGTTCTTGGGTGAACTAGACAGTTTCCTTTCCACCATCATCATCACTGTCCTTCCTCTCCTAAATTCTTTTTCTTTTTTCTGTTCTTTTTTTCGTGGAAAGGAGAAATATATCGCTATAGCAAAGATAGGATTTGGTTTGCAGGTATTTGAGTCTCTATTTCCCTCCCTGGGAAATCATGAGGACCGAAACGCTCCTTGTGCGCTGTAGCTCTGAGGTGGCTGTCATGGCCCAGACGGCGGGGGAGGCGAGGATGGTTGTGGGGAAAAGAGGGGAGGGTCAGGAGTGTGTCCCAGAAGTGTGGGGCGAAGGGCTTCCCTCCATATCATGGGGCATCCGAGAGGGGGCAGGAGAATAAGCTCGGCGTGGAAAAAGGAGCTGGGAGTCCCCCATGTCCGCAGTGAGACCCCACAGATGTCCCACGGCTATGACTGTTTGCCTCCCACTCAAGAAGTACAGAGATGAGAAGCAGTTATTTCTTGCCCAGGAGGCCGTGGCTGGAGGGTTGGCCCTGGTCCCAGGCTCTTCCTGGGGGTGCCTGCTAACAAGGCCCTGCCCTGGATGGACTCAAATCACTTAAGTCTTCCCCAGGACCCTGGCTTGGGGAGGCCCTCTTCTCCCGCATCCTGGCTTACCTGGGTCCAGTTATGACATTCTTACATAGTTACCCGGTTTTGCCACCATCCACAATGTTCCCCAGTGTTAGAAGGTAGAGTGGTGACAGGTATGAAGAAAATAATCCCGTCCCCCAGTCACAGGGGTGTGCTTTTAAGATGTAGAGGCCCAGATCAGGGAAGAGTTTGGCTGAAATCTGCATTGTCAGGGAAAGGAGTCAGGTCTCACAGTCAATCAGCAGCAACCCAAACGGAGCATCAACTGCGAATGAAGGCCCACAGCACCCGCAGCCTCGCAGCCTCACATCTCATGGCTCCCTGTTTTCCTCTAGCAGCCCACCGGGTGACCCCCGAGGCCTTCGGCCTCCCTGTACTTCCACAGTGGCCTCCTGTCTTCACAGGCATCCCCTGTGGACCCTTGGCCCAAACCCTCCAGGGGTGTCCGCGCCTCCCAGACTGCTAGCTTCAGCCAGTCCACACTGTTGCCAAAGTAATTACCGCCTCATTCCATTTGTTTACCCTGGAGCTTCCAGGAGTATCCTGGTGCTTACAAAGCCAAATGCTGATTCCTCAGGCAGAGGTCCCTTGAGGCCCTGAGGGGAACTGGCACCAACTTGCTGATTTTCTTCAGCCCCTCCCTGGTTCAGACCCAGCCCCAAGGCAAGAGGTCTCCTTATCCTTCTCAGAACAGTCCTTGCTCATCCCATCCACATTCCACCCTAAGGTTCCAAGATTCTGTGAGTCACAATGGTCCCCAAGTCTGGAATATTCTTCCACCTGCTCTTCCCCAGTCCAAAGTCAGGATTTCCAGGAGGGCCTAGCTCAGCTGCTCACCTCCAGAGAGGTCTCTACGCTGTGTGATCCAGGGAAACTTGGAGGGGTTTTGAGCTCAGGTGTCTTCTGCCAGCTGGACTCTAAGACCCTGGCCTGTCGGGACGAGGACAAGGCTCTGATGTGGTCTGGTCAACTCAGGGCTGGCCATCTGCACCGCAGGGCTCTAACAAGGGCTTGCCGTAGGCCCTGCAAACCATTGTAACTGTCCTTGTTTGGCAAATACCTACTCATCACCTGCCTTATGCCCAGCAATGTTCCAGGCACAGGAATTCATCGGAGGGCTAGGGAAGACAAGACGTTGTCATGGAGCTGCAGCAACCGAACGAGAAACCATGAGACCCCCGTGGAGGGCTTAGGGAGGGATGAGGGAGGGCGTTTCCACAGAGGGGCATTGAAGTTGAAACCTGAATGGGACAAGATCAGGTGGAAGAAGCTTCCAGACAGAGGGGGAAGCTCTGTCAAAAAGGCCCCAAAGAAGGAGAAATCGCCATATGTTTAAGAAACAGGTGGGGCCGCTGCCTCACACTCATTCCAAAACCTTCAAACCCACAGCTTCTGCTTTAGGCGATGGGGACACCTGGGAAACATAGCAAGTCTCTGCTCCCCAGAACACTAGTCCTCACCTGGGAATACCAACAAAGATGGCTCAGAAACCGAAGGGACACCTGAAACCAGGGCTGGGAGGGGTGGGCTCCTGCTCCTGTCAATAGGGTGGTCCGAGGAGGCTTCCCGGCAACACGAGCGGAGGCCTGGGGGCACAAGCCGTGCAGGCATCTAGGGAAGAAATGGCAAGCGCGGGGCGGGGTGGGGGTGCGTTCAGGGATTTCATGCTCAGCAGGGAAGCCGGGGTGGCTGGAGCTGAGTGGGAGATTGGAGACGTGGCCTCGAGTGGGGTCATGTGGGGCCTTTTGGATCCTGGTGAGGATTTTAGCTTTTGAGCGAGAGCGAAAGCCTTGGGAGGATTTTGAGCAGGGGCATCAAGTGGCTTTACCGAGGTTTCCAGAGATCACCCCTGCTGCATTGTAAATAGAATGTAGAGGGCCAGAGCAGAAGAAGGGAGACGTCTTGGCGAGTGGTCACTGCAGTGATCCTGCAAAGGCGCTGAGGCTTAGGCTGGGTGGCCATGGTGGAGGTGGGACATGGCCTCAGAGCATGCGGGACATGCTGTTGGACTGGTTGTGAAATGTGCAAGACAGGAGGTGAGGGTGGCCCAGCAGCTAAAAACCCAAGTTTCATCTACTGAGCTGGGAAGACAGATGATGAGGCAGAACTGGATGTGCTCACCAGCCCTCAGGAGCAGGAGTCATGCTGGCAGTGGTGCAGGAATCTGGCGTCAGGGGAGAAGCTTAGCTGGAGATGTAGTCTGGGGTCAAGAGCAGGTCTGGGTGCAGGAAAGGGTAGCCATAAGGAACAGCGGAGTGGCTAGCGTTTGGGGCTTCACTGGCCTTTGGAAGGAACAAGTCTCTAGATTTGCTCCAAGTGCAATAGGAAGCCAGGGGCTGCCCCAAGCAGAGAGGCATGAGATGAGAGGATCTTATATTCTCTTTTAATAGACAGAAAATCGATTCAGAGCACAGTTGGAGCAGGAGAGGTGTAAATTAAGAGGTGGCTTAGACCTGGCAGTGGATAGACACACATAGACAAATTGGAAGTACGTCTTCCAAGTAGAGCTAATGTGACTGGCCAATAGGTTGGATGTTTCAGTGAGGAAAATAAATGAACAGGTTTAAGGAGAAAATGCAAGCTCAGCATCAGCCATGTTAAGTGTGAGACGGCAAGTGGGCAGTGGCATATCGAAGACTCAGACATGACAGCAAAGGTCTGCACTGGTGACACAGCTGTGGGGGATGCTGGGAGACACCTGCGGTTTAGAGCTATGTGATGAGATCGCACCTAGATGCACCAGATGCGCACAGGGCATAAACAGAGCACAGAGAAGAGACTCTGGGTGTTACTTTCCAACTAAGAACTGAATGAGACAATCATCAAGATTGTTTCCAGTTTTCAGGTACCAAGAATCAGTACCTCTAATGGCTGGTGAAGTAAGTAATTATGCAATAAGAATCACAGTCTAAAACATTTTAACCTGACAGCATTGTTTAATATTTACTCTAGTGATTGCCCTTACAAATAGGCATAACAGATTCTGACATTTTTAAATTTTTTATTTTAAATGTTTTTAATTTTTTGGCTGGGCATGGTGGTCCATTCCTGTAATCCCAGCACTTTGGGAGGCCGAGGTGGGCTGGATCACTTGAGGTCAGGAGTTCAAGACCAGCCTGGCCAACATGGTGAAACCTCGTCTCTTCTAAAAATACAAAAATTAGCCTGGCATGGTGATGCACACCTATAATTCCAGTCACTTGGGAGGCCTAGGAAGGAGAATTGCTTGAACCAGGGAGGTGGAGGTTGCAGTGAGCCGAGATTGCACCACTGCACTCCAGCCTGGGTGAGAGAGCAACACTTCATCTCAAAAATAAATAAATGAATAATTTCCATTTTTAATTTTTAGAAAGAGACAGAGTCCCCCTATGTTGCCAGGGTGGCCTCAAACTCCTGGGTTCAAGCAATCCTCCGGCCTGGGTCCAGCCAGATTCTGAAATTTGTAATATGAAAAAGCAGGCACAGATGCTATCTATTAATTAATATGATCTCTGCATCACCCAAAAGTTCCAAAATACAGAGCTGTGGAATTTTAGATAAAAGTAATTCACTAATGATTGAATAAGCTGAATCTATGATTACGTACATAATCCTAGAAATACAAAATTCTCGCCGGACACAGTGACTCACACCTGTAATCCCAGCACTTTGGGAGGTCGGGACAGGCGGATCACCTGAGGTCGGGAGTTCAGACTCGCCTGACCAACACGGAGAAACCCCATCTCCGCTAAAAATACAAAATTAGCCGGGTGTGGTGGCGCATGCCTGTAATCCCAGCTACTCAGGAGGCTAAGGCAAGAGAATCGCTTGAACCAGGGAGGTGGAGGTTGCGGTGAGCCAAGGTTGCACCATTGCACTCTTGCACTCCAGCCTGGGCAACAAGAGTGAAACTCCGTCAAAAAAAAAAAAAAAAAAGCTAGAGAGATAAGCAAAGATTTATATATTTTATTTTTAAGCTTTTCCTTATCCCACATACCATCGTTTCTAAGGAATTCATATTTTGAAATGCCTGCCTGAGATAATTTGTTCTCCCTTTTTCCAAACTAAATTTCCTTTAAAAAGACACGATATTTTCCAGCTGCATCCATGTCCCTACAAAGGACACAAACTCATTCTTTTTTATGGCTGCATGGTATTCCATGGTGTATATGAAACCATCATTCTCAGCAAACTATCGCCAAGAACGGAAAACCAAACACCGCATGTTCTCACTCATAGGTGGGAATTGAACAATGAGATCACTTGGACACAGGAAGGGGAACCTCACACACTGGGGCCTATTGTGGGGAGCGGGGAGTGGGGAGGGACAGCATTAGGAGATACACCTAATGTAAATGACGAGTTAATGGGTGAAGCACACCAACATGGCACATGTATACATATGTAACAAACCTGCATGTTGTGCACAAGTACACTAGAACTTAAAGTATAATTTAAAAAAGAACAACAACAACAAAAAGATATTTTTCAAAAAGATAAATGTACACTTGTGCTGGGGAACTGGGGAAGAGCACCTTCAGAAGACGAAAAGATATCTCAGAAGACATTGAGGGATATCAGGAATATGTAAAACAGATGAACGCATTAGCGGGAAAGTCTAACACGTGGAAGAAAATGTATCGTCAACGCACCGTGGCCCACGCCTGTAATCCCAGCACTTTGGGAGGCCGAGGCGGGCGAATCACAAGGTCAGGAGTTCCAGACCAACCTGGCCAACATGGTGAAACCCCGTCTCTACTAAAAATACAAAAAATTAGCTGGGCATGGTGGCAGGCGTCTGTAGTCCCAGGTACTCAGGAGGCTGAGGCAGGAGAATGGTGTGAACCCGGGAGGTGGAACTTGCAGTGAGCCGAGATCATGCCACTGCACTCCAGCCCGGGAGACAGTGCGAGACTCTGCCTCAAAAAGAAAAAAAGAAAAAAGAAAACATGTTACAGAGTTAAGTAGACAAGGATGCTTTTTTTAAAAAAGTGAGTTTTTCCAGTAGATCCTTTGAGAAGGCTCAAAATCAGAGAAAGCAGGCTGTTCTAGGATGAGGCGCAGTTGGGAGAATGGCGAGGCCGCTATGCTGCTACATCCCGGATGCCACTCCAAGTCCCAAGCTGGTCATTTCAAGTGGTTGCTCTTAAGACCGGCCGCTCCTTAATGTTACCTGATGAGCTTCTAATGCCCAAGCAATGCCCAAGCCTCGCTCCAGACTCCGTACACATGGGGACCTGGCCCCAGCACCCAAATTTTTTAAAAGCTGCTTGCGTGATTCCAATTGCAGCCGGGTTTAAGGACCTCTGGTCTCTATCTGCCATGATACGCATGAATCTATATTATAGTCAAGAGTCACTGGATTGTTTCAGAACAACTGGTAGCATGAAAGAAAAAAGCAAACTTCACCCAAGTGAATTCCCCCTCTCTGAGAAGAAAGAGCCAATGCAGAACACAGACAATAACATTAGAAATCACCATTACTGTCCTTAGATATCCAGCAGACCAGCCCATCCATAAAATTGCCATGGAAAAGAAGTAAATGAGGAACAGCCAAAAAGTCTTGGAAGTAGAAAGCATAGCAGGTAACAAATTTAAAAAACACACACACACAAAGTGGCAACATTAACAATCTAGATGATCATATTGGGGAATTCTTTCAGAATATAGGGCATAAAATAAAGAAACGAAAATATATA